GCCAAGAGCCGTTGTGTATGTGAGTGCTTTTTGGTTCCGTGCACGAGGATGCCCCGCTGGCGCGAAAGCAGTTTCTGCTTCATGAAAGTGAAGCAGCAGCAATGATTGCGGTCTCAGGTGTGGAAATCCTTGCGTGAGTGGGTCAGTGGGTGTTTTGTGCTCCTCGAAGGCGATGAAGTAGCTCGTGAGCTCGCCACAGAGGCTCCAACTCTGCTTCCTTCCGACACACAGCGGAGCTATGGGGTCTTAGACCCTGTGGCCGTGTGCCAGAGCCCATGACCTGTCCAGATTGGCTGCAACCTCATTGCATTGCCTGTGGATGGTTCACGTTCTGGGCTGCAGCTGATGCATCTCAGCTTGAAGAAGCTAGCGATGATCTCATTGCTTCTGATGCCCAGTGGACCATAAGCTTCAGCAATTAGTTGCTTTTGGTGCGAAACCTCTGAAGTGTAGACTGGTTCTCAGCATCTAGCAGAAGACCGAGTCGGATTAACATCGTGCCGGGTGTTGCTGAAGGAACTGATGTAACGAGTCGGCCGAAGTGAGCTTCGATGAATCGAAAAACTCTCAGTCCGCCACGGCTTTGACGGCTTTGAGATTCCTTTCGCCAAGGCGCAGACAGCGGTCACGCGCCCACTCCTTCGCGTCCGACGGCGAGCCTGGAGCTGGCTGAGACCTCGTGTGATCGCTGGCGCGGCACGTGTCCTCTTTGCTCTGAAGACCGCCGAGGCCCAAGCGGCTATGCGGGTGGGTATCGTCGTCCCGAGGCCCAACATGCAAGAGGGCTTGGGGCTGATGCTCAACAATCCACTTTCTGGAAATAAAAATGTTCAGGTTGTAACAAACGATGTGTAATTCCTTTGAGCCCTTGTTTGTTCCAGTGTGGGCCTGTCCTTTGAGCGGCTCGCTGCAGGCATCCGACATGGCCCTTCTGATTTACACGTCCGGTACAACAGGTGCTCCGAAGGTGCCCCTTCATATTTCTGAAGGGCTACTGAGTTGACAGTGCCCGCTTCTGGAAGGGTATCGTTTATGATCACGAGCACCTCATGCATGGTGTGTATTTCTTTGGGAGCCAGTGCTTGTCGCTCAGCTTTCCTGGAGGGCCACCACGTGTGATCATGCAGCGTGATTGTGCTAAGGCCAGGTGGATTCGACGTCAGTTGCGATGCTAAAGTCTCCGTGAGACACCGGGATTTTTTGCCAGAGTCACAACCCAAGTTTTCTGTTTGGCTCATGCTTTCTGCTCAACATTCGAAGGTATTTCTGGGCAATCATTGACTCTTGAATGCAAGAAGCTACTGTGGTCCAGCTAAACAAGGAGAACTCCAAGATGTATGCCATGTCAGGAGTGGGAGATGTTTCCGGTGCTGACGCAAGGCATCACACGATTACTGTTAGCTGTTAGCACTACTCACGGGGTCGCCGGGCCGTGTTTGACCGTGGCAGGTGGCAAGCTAGTGGTAGCTTCAGCAAATGGACACAAGAGCCACTTCCTCAGATATCTCTGGTTTCAAGACGCAGTGCGGCGATTTCCAGTGTGTCAGCAACGAGGTCCTGAATATCTGGCCAACACTATTGCAGCCGAGGAGGCGCACGGCGCTCTCAAGCTTACCGTTGTACACGTCTACACGTTGAATCCTTCAATGAACCTTGAACATGGTTGTGACGAGTAGCTGCCGATGGCACACCCACAGAGATCCTAGTCTAAACCGCTTGCCACAAATCCCATACCGGCTTAGATGCGGGAACGGTCCCATGGCACCGCAACAAACCCGAGTTTGAGAAAGTCCCGTGCGAAAGCTCCGAAATCAACCAACCCTCAACTTTCCAGAACCCTCCAGAAAGGTACGCTGTGGGGCGCTGCGTGTTGCTGCAAATTGTTTTCTTGTACAGCTGTATTATGTATATGTGTAGGCCTACTGATACACGATTCGCGGGTCCATTTAATGAGTAAGGGTCCAATACCTGGGAATATCCTGGATCAGAGCGCGCTCGGGTTCGGAAAGGAGATGAAGGGACACCGGGGGGGGGGGGGGGGGAAAAAAAAANNAACAAAAACCACGAATTGACCAAAACACCACATTTTTCTTAATTTGTTGCCCCCCCCCTCCCCCTCCAGATCCCGTCACCTCTTTTCTCCTTATTATCTGCCCGCAGATCACTTATGTCTCTGAAAAGGATTTTTCTCAGCGTTGCAGTAGTCCAAAGTCATAATCAGCTTATATATATATATATGAGGGTTCGAGAACACCCCATCAGCGGGGATAGCTTGAGCCCCAGTGCGACAATCGCACGTCCTTTTTGCGAGCCATAGTGATACAGGGCGGCAGCCCCTCCTGGCATCGCAACCTCCGTCGAAGGTGGTCAAAGGCACGGCTGCGAGTGAGGGCAGCAAAACTTGGAAAGGGTCCACTTCGGGCCCCAGACCTGCGCCGCCTGGCACTGCATCACTCCTCGTCTTTCTCCCCGCCGCGAATGGGAAAAGGATGGAAGTCCAGAAACAACGGAAAAGACCAGCATGGAGGGCAAGATGCAAAATGGGGCTATTGGCGTGGTGCTCGTGCTTCCTACTCTCCCTCGCAGAAGCAAGAGAGTTGGCGGGCAGACAGGGAACAGGGCCCGACATTCCCCAAGTACGACTCGCGATGGGTGGACCTCAGACAGCAGGATCCCCTGCTGGTGGAGGTTTCTACCAGGACCAAGGCGAGTGGAAGCCGAGGCCTAGCGAACGACCTCCAGGCGGTGATCAACCAAGCCCGCAAGTTGGAGAACAAGCTTTCCGCTCTGGAGGAGAACCGGAAACGCCGAATGGCACAGTGGCAACAGTACCAGGTGGACCTGCAGAAGTCCTTCAAAGAAGAAAAAGAGCGATGTCAGAGGGCTATCAGCAAGCTGGAGTCAGATATAGCGGCGGTGCAGGAGCAATGCACGACTGCACAGGATCAGCTAGTACAGGCCGCCCAAGCCAGTGGGGTAGCCGTGGAGACGGCCAGAGAGATGGAAGGGATAGACGACGAAGACTGGCAGCACCTCACAGGGGGACTGTCGCTGGAGAGCAGTCGTGTGGATTCTTTGGAGGACGACATCCTTTTGGCGAGAGCCATCCGCCGAAGAAGAGCAATGCTGGCCCCTGCTCCTCGTGCCCCGGAGCCAGAGGCGAATCTGGCTATGCGAGGATCTGGCCCGCAGAGAGCCGCTCCTGTTGCGGCGCCCACCAAGATCCCGGATACCAATGGAAGCGAGGAGCAGAATCGCCTCAACCATGGCTATGCTGCAGCATCACCAGAGGCCCCGAGACGGAGATCGGAGCCCTATCCCCAGACGTCGCCCAACTTGACGAAGCCTTCAGGGGAAGCAGTCCGGGCCGCCAAGGAAGGGCAGGAAGCACCCCCAACTCTGGAGACGAGGGAATCCAGCCGACCTCGGCCACCATCGGGCCCCAGAAAGGACATCAAGGATGCCAGCAAGCACCCTCCAGCCCGCGCAGAGAGTGGGCTGACCCTGGATCAGAAGCTGGATCAGAAGCGAGCTATGGAAGGTGGTCCTGCCATGATGCCCTTCAGACAAAATCTCGCTCGTCCACCAGGACTGGGCTCTGCTGGTGCGCCTCCTGGGGCGGAGGAAACCTTTATCGACGACGATGGAGAGGGCGACCTCAATACCTCGCCTGGATTTACCAACATGGAGTGATACTGGCACACGATGCTGAGCCCTGGGGTGCTCGGCTTGCCTCCCGAGATACCCTCCGCGGGGTCACAGAATTGGACAGGCTAAGGATGCCAAGGGTCTGGAAGGGGGCAGATGATTGGGACATCTGTTCTCCCTCCGGCTCGGGTGCCGTCCGTGGTCAATGTCCATTTTGTGATGCCGTCGGAGACAATTTCGCTGGAGGCAAGCAGTCTCACTACTCGGTAGTAGAGCTTAGAGATACCGTGTATAGTTTTTCGCCATTGTGGATAGCTCCCCAACTCCTCTTGCGTATGCCCCAGTCAGGATTTCGAGGCTACTTCAGCAATTCTTGCCCACTCTTTCCCGTCGGGTCATCTGTTTTGGCAAGAGCGGGTTCTTCGGTCTTTCGTACCACAGCCGTTCTCATTGCACCTGGCCTTCACTGGGTTTGTGAAGGGTCAGCTGTCCCTCTCTTTTTCCTCCTGCTCCCTTTGGACTTTGATTGGTGTGTGCACAAGAGCCGGATCGGTTGCTCAGGGCCGGCCACCTCCGTCATTCTCCAAGGTGGACTTTGTGGACTTCATGCCCCGTGTGGCTTCATCTCCTTTTTGAGGAGACAATCCTTTTCCTGTATCTTGGGTGACTGCCTCACCCTGACTTCAGACCTCTTTCAGAGGAACTTGATCTTCCAATGTTGTCACTGGTTGGACGTGCCGAAAACCCGCATCGGTGGCTCTGGGGCGGGTACTCCTTCCTTTGGCTTCTTTGGTCTGCTTGTTGGCTGCCTCGGTCGTCTGGTGCCAGCCTTCTTCCTGCACCTTCTGCTTGTCAGTCGGCCTTGCCTTGTCCCACTTCAAGGGCCCTCTTCCAGTGTGATCTTGGCATGGGGCCACATTGCGAGCGTTCGACACCCCGATGCGGGACCACACCGGTTGGATAAAGAGCATAGACCAGTCAGAGAGAGATCTTATGACCGCACTTGTGCCAGACTTTCCAGCCGACTGGTCTTTTACCTGCTCTCTTTCATGTCATGCCCCACCCAGGTTTGGGCTGCACCTAAACCTTCGGGGGAGGCAGTGAACATTGTGCTCGAAGCAGTTCGGTTATTCCCAGAACCACTTCCTGCACATAGGGTGGACACACCCACACAGATTCCTTTCTGGGCACGGCCGGGATTTGAGCTAGAACGTCTGTCAACGCATCCTGTTGCCCAGGACACAGTGACCCCAGCACCATTGCTCGAGCATCCGGGCATCCCGGTCCTGCCACATGCTGCTGAACTCCCGGCAGAAGACGAGAGAATATTTGTGCAAGTGTATAGCTACGTCATGGCGCCGCACTACCAGGCCGAAATTCTCCCTCTGCCAATTGGAATTCCGACGGATTTAGATTCTTTCTGCACTTCTGTCCGCCGGGCCCTCAGCAGCTTGCGCCTACGCTTCATGGCCGACCTAGTACCTACTGTTCCACAGATTAATCCTGAGTTTGCTTCGCTGATTGTAGTTCCCCGGTGGCTTAATGCGGCAGGCAAACAGGTGGTAGTCTTCGATGTGAGGGCATGTGGTGGACCCATCTATCCTGATTATGTGTGGGACAGGGTTTCTGTTGGTGAGTGTAGAGCGGTTGCGAGACGGCATGGCATTGACCATTGCTCTATCTATGCACAAGGCTACACACAGCCGCTTGAAGATGGGGCCTCCTTCCTTGCCATTACGGGTGGAGCGATACAATTTCAGCCCCCAGGTTCCGCTGCAGAATGGCGCAGTCCGCTGCATACTCGACTCGACCGACCGAACGAGTGGAGCGAGGATCCAGACCTCCCAATTGAGGAGGTGGAATGGCCTTTGTTTGTGAGCCACCATGACCAATTTACACTCTACTCGGCGGATAGGTTCCCAGGGGAAACCGCGGCCAGTGCGATAGCTGACCTCGTTGATCGGAGACCAGATGAAGTGCTCTTCGTCACATCGCCGGGTCGTAGGTTAGAGGATATCAATGTACGTGGCACGTTCTGCAGAGATGCCATGGCTGTTTTTCCACTCACCCCTTCATCTGAGAGGGGGTTCTGATCTTTGTCGATCTCCGACAGATCGGCCTTTCAGTGACGCATATGTATCTTGAACAGCCTGTTGTTGCACCTTCAGAGATCATCCGGCACTTCCATCTCCGAGCACCGGTAGGCTTCAAGGTCACATGCTGGCCCCGACCGGAACACACTGGAAGGATTCCATGTGTCGAGGGGGACATCATTGTGTTCGGCTTTGTGCCGGATTCATGGGACGAGGAGGACGAGTGTGGCTCCAGCACCTCTGAGAGCTCATCACCGGAAGGCACTGCTGTCCCTCTGGATAATACACCCGGCAGCAATGACAGCATTGCGGCTGCCTCGGGACGGACACCCCTAAACGGTGACATAAGCGGCTCTAGTGGTCTCTCTAGTCATAGACCCCGATCTAGGTCCCCTAGGGGTGAGGGTCCTAGAGCGCTCGATGCCGTGCAGTTCCACAGCACTCTCCCCCAAGGCACTGCCACCGCAAATGACCAGTACAGCAGAGATGCCATGCTTTCTGCAAGTGCTTGTGATGTGCCCACCTTGAGTAAGGTTGTAACTCAGGGGGATTGCAAGCCTACTGGACTCTGCACCTTTGGAGCCGATAGCATGTGGATATCCAAATCTTCTCAACATGCCTTTGCACATGGCGCTTGGATGTCCACCTCTGTCTGTGAGGCTTCGTTTGGGATGCTTCGATCGCCTAGTGCCCCGCCCTTCGAATTGCTGGTTGGCACTTCGTCGAATGCTAATCAAATCCCGGACTCCGTTGAGTCCTCCCTGCATACGTCTGATGATTGTGCCGTTTGCCTTTGGTCAGGCCCGCAGGAACACAGGTTGTCCGTTGAACCTAGTTCGCAGGACTCGACATCACAGACTCGTCTGAATGACCTAAGGACTGTTACATTAGACCTGGGAGGACACTGGCCATACCTGTCCACACAACATGTTCCTTTCCCGGGGATGCTCCAGGATTTTGAAGATGAAGATACCAATTCCCCGGCCGAATTCTGCTGGGTTCGCGTAATTATCCTCAAGTTCCTATTTATCCCAGAACAGGTTTTGGTTGCCATGGACCTACCGGCCACTCCTCCAGAAGCTGCTGAAGCCATCCAGGGGGCACGCGACAGATCCCTTGCCCAGGACTTTCCCCATCTGCTAGCTGCTGCCCCACAGCCGAGGGCAGATGCATGTGTGTACCTGGCCAATCCTTCTTGGTACGGTTTTGATATGATAGCATGCGTTGACCTCACACGTGTTGATGGCCGAATGTTTGCTACACGCGTGCCAGAATACGCAGATCGGAGTGCTGTCTTGACACATGTGGACCTGGCACCGAACTCTAATGTAGAGGTCATTGCAGGTTTCCTTGACGCACCGCTCCTGGATGGCATTCCTTTGCATCTTTTCCCAGGGATTACCTTGCGTTTTTTCTTTACTGGAGATCCACCAGGCCCGGCACTTGCAATTGGGCACACCCTCCAGTCGAGTTCCATTCGCGACAATGGTGATGTGGACATGACGCCAGCCCCTGAGCGATATTACTGCCTTGTACTCCGCTACGGTTTCCGTCTCTTCAGGGCTGATGACCTGCGTCCTTTGAGCTACCGCGACCTTGCTGCTGCCATAGGGTGTTTGGCTTCTCAGGTTGCAATATACCCTGCGTCCCCCCGTGTGGCCGACGTCGCCATCGAAGGCCATCATTGCAGGACTGCACTTGTAGTTGTCCCTGACGAGTTCACGAGTGACAATTTTGGTTTCATCGTAGATGGCCGGGCCATACTGCAGGGTTTTACGTGCTTCAAGGCGGACATTAGCCCCATTCCGGCCGGTAGGATTCTTAGGGAGCTGAACCTTGACGCCCCCTTGGGTCTATGTGCTTCCATTGATGGAATAGTGGCAGCAGATGCCCCCCTTGAGGTTCGGCCCGGTCAGGTCCTTCTAGCCCGGTACATCCTGACAGAAGAGGCAGAGTGGAACGAAGCCAATACTGTGCCACATCAGACATATGACTCTGAATCCTCTCAGCCGCCCTCTGAATCGCCGAGCCGCATTGGAGGACTATCCTCTGCTGATGTGACAGTGCATGATGCGTTCCGCTCTTCACACAGGATTACTCACCGGAGTTCTATGAAGTTGCAGTATCTTTGCCCACGCCAGCTGCCGAATTTGTTGAACATGTCCTTGAGGGACGTGCCAACTGCAGGAGTGAGATTGCCCCATTTCCCTGCGTTGTCAGACCACAGCCAGATACGGCTTTTGCAAGCCTCTTGATGCTCCCATCATGGCCCATAGAGGACTGCATCATATTAGTTGATGGGAGGAGCGTGGATGGCCGCCTCTTCGCCCTCCGCACAGCACCACTTGTAGACAGGAGATCGCTGCTTATTGCCGCTGCCTACGATCCAGGGCAGACCTCCCTGATCTATATCAGGGATTCACCCTGGCCCATGAGAGACGATTCTGTGTCTCCTCTCTACACTGGCGACCTTGTTGTCGTTCGCCGACTTGAAGGTTCTGTCCCAGCCACCGGATATTTGTCAGAAATGCTGCAATCGCCGGATCTGTGGGACTCTGCTGCGATCCCGCAGGGACCTTGCCAGGCATTTACCCTTGTGCTGGATGACGCAGAACCTTTGTTGTTTGAATGCCAGACCGTGTCAACAGATGATTCTGCATCCCAGGCCTCTCTTGATTCAATTGACCAAAGAGTTGCTGCGAGCTTGGGGACAGACGAGTCTGAGATCACCCTCTTCGCTCCTTGCCCGGACATTGAAGATCATTGGGAGAGAGGGCGTCCGGTTCATCAGGTCTATCTGGTCGTGCGACACCCTGGAAGCCAGTATGCCGTCAGAAGCACCTTCCCGTGTGTGATTGATGCCAGACCGATCCTCATGGGGTTTCTCACCATTGATGCTACCAATCGGGCCATTGACCTGCATGCTCTCACTGGTCGGCTTGCCGGCTATTGCCCGGTTGGTTTTAATGTCCTCGTGCAAGGTGGGGACCCTGGCATCGCCCTGCCCGCCGGTTTTAGAGAAGTAAGCATAGGAACAGTCATGTCTGTCCACTTCTCAGAGGCTGCCTCCGAACCGAGCCCAGCCTATGCTGATCTCCTGGGATCCCCTGTGGCAGTAACGTCTGCCCCCCAGGACGATCGTACAACGACAGAATTCCGGGCTAGTCCTTTCCCCGCCGTCCTTTTTTCACATGATCGTCTTGGAAGTGACAGCACTTGCAGCTTCCATGGCCACTTCCGCTGCTGGAGAAGAGGACGACGATATGGGCATGAGCGGACACCCCTGCACACTTGCCTTATCCTGGCCAGCATCCTCTCCCCTGTAGGCGCCGAGCTAGCATTGCGGCAAAACGGCCCTCCCCCACTTTTAGACACGTGGGGATCATGTTCATACCACGACGTCCATTGCCTTGGACTCATGATCCTCACCTCTGTCCAGGGATTTCTGGCCGCTCACTGGAGATGCTATGCCCTCTGTGTTGTTCTGCTGCTCGGGATCACTGGGCTTCTCCTTTTTTCCCGATTGCACTTCAGCTGGCGATGGTCCATTCACGGTGTCCAGTCTGTCGGGAAGGCAGCCCCTGGCTGTCGCAGCCGAGCACCATGGTGCTCTGCCCCAACGAGCAGACCTCTGACCGATGGGGGCAGGCCCAGCCGCGCTTCGGGTCGCCCCGGCAGAGATACCACAAGCGGTCCTGGACCTTCCTCGGAGGGCAGCCGAGAGAGAGCACCCTCCTACCCGGGCAGCCAGGATGCCGACACCACTGCTTCGAGACCTGTTGACGTGCGAGAGCCCGACACAGGTTTTGGGATCAGAGTCCCATTTTTCATTTTTGCATATGAGTACTGGCCGGAGTGTGTTCTTGCTCGGCTCGTGCTCCCGACGCGTGTTCGAGAAGCTTTTGCATCTCTTGAGCAGCAAAGGGGGGCCTCGGAGCATAGACGCCACCCCCGACTTTTGCAGGTTCTGCCACAGCCCCGCACATCTGTTGCCTGTGTCATTGCTCTGCCACATTGGGAAATTGAAAGTGTCCCTGTATTGGTTGACTGTCAGGTTGGCTTGCAGCGGATCTTCTGTACCATCCTCCCCTACTGGATATCCAGAGAGGCCTTTCTCCACAGCATGGGCATTCCGGGGGACAGACAGTGCTTTGTGTTCCTCAGAGACATTCCGTGGCCCTTGCAACGGGAAGCCTACTTGTTTCCCCAGCCAGGGGATCTGGTCACCATCACCGAACATAACGAGGACCTCCGATATCGTCTTGAGCTTGCACAGATGTTGGAGCCCGCCCATCATTGGGACCTCTCGGCTGAGCTCCCCGGAGATGAGGGGGACCTCAACTGGGTCTTGTCTGATGGCAACTACACTGCGCTTCCCATCCCAGGGGACAGCTTTGCACTTAACAGCGCCCACACTGCGGCAGCTCTTGGTCTAGAAGCTGGTCGATTTATCCTCGTGCCAGCTGTCCCAGTCATTTCAGATCATGCACGCCTCGGTCGTCGTTCACAGCGAGCGCTCTCCGCCTGTCCCGTTGAGGATCCCTTGTTTGAGACAGAAGGACAAAGAGTTCCCTATGTTCTCGACCAGAGACCAGTGCTTCTGCCAATGCACCTCGCTTATGCCACTAGAGGCCTGCTCGATGTTGCAGAAATTTGTCGACGAGCGTCTTGGCGCTGTCCGCGACGATACCATGTCAGATTGCTCGGGGGCAGATATGTTGCTGGTTCAGGTAACCACTACCGACAGGTTGAGCCTGGCGACGTGGTCACACTTGAATTTCATCCGGACTACATTAGAGATGCCTTCTCTGAGCTGCGCACCGACACTTACACACCGGACCCGGGACAGCCCAAGGGTTCTGCTCGACCTGCCGGTGCAAGCACGAGCACAGGCGGCTTGAGCGGAGATGGGGACACCGGAGGTACCGGACAACCCTCGACCGCAGCCGGCCCTCCTGCACAAGGCGGAGAACAGTTGAGACCTCTTCCACCAGCTCTGGTCCTCTGGCAGCAGCTGCTCCTGGCTTTTGTATTTTCTCTCCCGTGCCGGCTGTTCATTTTTCTGTCCTTCGTCACGGCTGGAGCTGGAGGCGTGCCCTCTGCTCATTGGGAGCTTTGCCACGGCACTGTCTCTCTTGATGTGGGATTGCACAATGGACATGCTTACATTCATGATCCAGATAAGCCTGGTCCTCATAGGGGTCTTGACCCATCGGGAGATGTGCACCCCCTCCCTCGGCCTGTCCCTACACCTTGCCGTAGGTTATGTGTCAGAGGCGAGAGCCTGCAGGCTCCCCTGCCGACCCTCACCCTTGAGATTGGCAGATGTTGTACACTGCTGGAGGAGTGTGTTTCAGATCCAGCCTGCCAGGCCTTCTGGCTTGCTGCTACTCTCCTCGAAACTATAGAGGAACATCTCGGAGGTTTCGGTGCTCAAACTCCTGCACGAGAGATCCGTGTTTCGGAGAAGCCATCCGGCAGGGTCAAGGTCCGGCTTGCGGAACACCTGCCTTCCAGCATCTCCGTTGACCTGTCCCATGTCACCATGCCTCTCCGACAGACCACCGACCAGGTTATCCAGTGGACACTTCGGGGTGCTGGGAACTTGGTCGAGACCTGCCTGTTGGTCTCAGTGTACACCCAGCTGCACAGGCCCTACTTGACAGCTGCCACAACGAAAGGCCACCTTCCTATCAAGGCATATCGATCTTTACTGATGGGTCCTTCCACAACGGTGTCTCGTCCTGGGCATTCGTTGTATTTGGGTACCAGTCCGAACATTGGCACTTCTTGGGCTGGGCTGCCGGTAGGGTTCCCTCCGATTCGGATGACCCTCTCTTCCTTTGCCCCTGTGACCCCCACGCTTTGAGTGGTGAACAATCTGCTTTGCTTTGGGCTGCAGTTTGGGCCCTCCAGGGGCCACAGGCTTGTCGTGACCAGATTTTTTCGGATTGCTTGGTAGCGCTCAACCAAGCCCGAGGAACCTTTGGATGGACATTGGTTGACCATCTTGCGCCTCTGTGCCGTGCTGCATTCCAGGCTTTGGCCGTTGCTCGACCCTCTTGGGACTCCTCTATCCAACATGTCCGGTCCCATCAGGGTTGCCCAGCCAATGAACTCGCTGATGCTCTGGCTAAGTATGCGTGCCGGGAACATCAGACAAGCCGGTGCGACCATCAGCTTTGGGCTGCTGCTGCGATACGCAGTGGTACACTGCCGTGGCTTTGTGTCCAGCTCGAGGCTATTAGAGAGCCTGATTGCTGGCCACAACAAGTCGGCAGCACATTTGTTGACACACACCGTCATACCGCCTCAACTCCCCTTCGCCCACATGATTGCTACCGTGTCCTTGGACTACGAGCACAAGAGGCCGAAGAAGCGGGTCTACAGCCTATCCATATCTCCTTGCGTCTTCTTTCTGTCAATGTTCAATCACTCACCGACCCGGATGAAGCCAAGTCCGCTCCCGTCCAGGAGCAAGGCTTCTCAGGTCGTGCGAGGTTCCTTCGTGAGCAATTTACGCACCTAAAGGTTCACGTATCGGCACTGCAGGAAGCAAGGTCACAGACGGACGCCACATATGTCTCCGACTCACATATTAGGTACTGCACAGCTCGAGATTCCGGAGGGAACTTTGGTTGTGAACTGTGGTTCTCCCGCATGCTTCCTTTTGTTTGGGGTCATCAGACCTTCGGGCATTTCCATCCGAATGACTTCCTTGTGATCTCTTCCAGCCCCCGCGACCTCATCGTTAGGTTCTCCAGGTCTGGGGTACACGTCCTGTTTGCCTGCGTACATGCTCCTGTTGCTGGCCATAAGGATAGGGATCCCTGGTGGGAGGACCTTCGCAACAAACTTACCAAGTTACGCAGAGAGGCCGAAATCGTCCTTCTGGGGGATTACAATGCTGGGTTTTCAGCGTCGATTCACCACCGAGTTGGGGACCTCGTCTGGCCTGTGCAACATGCCCCTCCCCGTGGTCTTTGCCAGATCTTGAGAGAACATGATCTCTGGCTACCCAGTACCTTTTCTGGGTGCCATGAGGGACCCCATGAGACCTGGCTGTCGCCTGCGGGGACTACAGGGTCCCGGCTTGACTATGTGGCCGTACCGGACGGTTGGTGCGTTCCCCAGTCGGGCAGCTGGGTTGAGTTTTCCCTTGACTGGGGACAGCCCAGAGTTGACCATTACGGTATTTGCCTTGATACTTCTTTCCTTGCACGCGCGAGAAGACAAAGGAGGCAGAAAGCAGGCAGTCTCGACCGAGATGCCATGTCTACCTCTGAGGGCAAACAAACTCTTCTGAAGATATGCCGGACGATGCCTTTACTCCCCTGGGCATGTGATGTGCATAGGCACTACCTGGCCATTGAGGAGCATTTGAGCCAGGCGCTTGCCATCTCATTTCCGTCTTGCAGAGGGGTCTGCAGGTCTTCGCACTTCAGTTCTTCAACTTGGAGCTTAAGACAGAAGCGTGTCTGGCTTCGCAAACAAGTTGCTTGGGAACGCACAGGTACCCGACTTGCCGAAGCCCTTGCTGCACTGCGCTGTTGGAAGGTTGGATGTAGCCTTACGGCAGGCCGTGTCTTAGTCCTCTTCTCGAGGATCCTATCTTGCAGGAGGCTCCGAGATCTGGTCGGGGATCTACAGACCACAAAGCGCAGTCTCCGGCGGTCTATCCGTGATGATATTTCGGTAAGGATCCGAGAGACTGCTGCTGCTGCTGCCGCATCGCTGCCCTGTGCAGACGTTGTCTCCCGTCTGCGACCACTTCTAGGCCCGCCGAAGAGGAAGGTCAAACAGCGACGTGCGCTGCAGTCTGTGTGCCACCCTGACGGCAGCCCTGCTCAGACCGCTTCTGAAGTTGAGAGTATCTGGATCGAGCACTTTGGCAACATAGAAGATGGGACTAAGGTTGATCCTGTCGCATTTGTGCACGGTGTTCAGCATGCACAGAGCTGTAGGGACCTGGAGTCCTACTCGCTTGGAGCCTCCGATGTGCCATCCAGGTTAGAACTCGAGCAAGCGTTCCGGCAGACACAGACGGGCAAGGCAGTTGGCCTTGATGGGATACCGGGCGAACTTTTGCATTTCGCTGCTGCGTCGGCATCCAGGTCGCTTTTTCAGCTGTTTCTTAAAACAGCCCTTCGGGCAGCCGAACCTGTTCAATTTAAAGGCGGTGCGTTACACGCGGTGTGGAAAGGAAAGAGCAACCCTGCCTTCTGCTCAGCCCACCGGGGAATCCTGGTGAGCTCTAATGTTGGCAAAGCCTTCCACCGCATTGCCAGGACCCGCGCAGTCCCTGCTCTGCGGGCCATCGCCACCGACATGCAAATCGGAGGTTTGCCCGCCTTTCCTGTTGTGCTGGCTTCCCACTTCGTGCGACTCTTTCAGTCGGGGTCTCGTAGCCGTGCCTCCAGCCATGGACTTTTGTTCCTGGATTTGAGGGAGGCATTCTACCGGGTTATTAGACCGCTCTTAGTTGGGACCTCCTGTCACGATGAGCAAGTCGCTGCCGCTGTTCGAGCCGTGAAACTCCCGCCGGGGGTGATGCATGAGCTTTATGCACACCTCCAGACCACGTCCGCTGCCAAGGAGGCGGGAGCCACCGACTGGGCGGACCAGGCCATTACAGAGGCCCTCACTGGGACGTGGTTCCGCTTCCAGAGCGGACAGCAGGTCGTCCAAACCTCCGTCGGTTCGCGCCCAGGTGATAATCTCGCGGACATTTGCTTCTCGTTTATTTTCGCAAAAGTCCTTCGGTCCATTCAGCGCGACCTCTGCGCACAGGAACTTGTGCCGGAACTCCCCTGGGAGCCGGCGATGGTAGGACAGGTCTTCCCGGTTACCACTTCAGGGGAAGTCAAGGTCCCTGCCCTTGACGCGACCTGGATGGATGACTCCACCTTCCTGGTTTCAACCTCATCAGCAGCCGCACTCCCGCATGCCCTGGCGATTACGGGTGCGTCTGTCATCGACGCTTGTGTTGGAAGAGCCCTACTTCCAAATTTGGACAAAGGAAAGACAGAGTTCGTTGCTTGTCCAATCGGGAATGGCCCTTGACCAGGGAACTGAAGCGCAGGGCCGCCCTGGCCTGGCAAGCTTTCAACACTCGGAAGCGCCTTGTTTTTGGGTCTCCTGGAGTATGCAAGAAGGACAAGATCATTTTGTTCGAGTCTTTGGTGCTCTCAATTCTCCTTTACGGAGCTGGCACTTGGGATCAACTCTCTTCCCGTGAGGAGGCGATCCTTGCCAATGCATACCACGGCATGTGCTTCCACATGCTACGACCGGCCTTCTCTCATGAGGAAGCGATGCATCTCGGCGGCCCCCGCGTTCTTGCCATCCTGGAGCTACCCACGCTGTCCACGCTGCTACATGTAGCAAGATTAAGACACCTTCTGTCGTGTATTCGCACAGCTGTGCCTGTTATGTGGGCCATGCTGCACTGGCAAAGTGTCTGGCTGGCCGCCGTTCGCTCCTCCCTGCAATGGCTTCGGACCCATGTCGATGGTGGTGCCCAGCATCCGGACTGGGAATCTGCGTGGTCAGGCTGGAAGGATCTGTGTACCTCCCATCCACAGAAGTGGAAGGGCTTAGTCCGCAAGGCCCAGTCCCAGGCTTCACTGCGGGATGTTTGGGTCAGCGCTGAGACTCAACATCTTGGCCTGCTGGTGAGACAACTGCGGCTAGCTGGCGCGCAGGTACCTGTGCGCCCTGCTTCATCGGGCCTGAACAGGCACTGCTGTGCTCCTTGCCAAAGGGTTTTCTCCTCCTACCAAGCATGGTCGGTGCAAGGCGAACATCGGTGTGTGCTGTCTGGGTTGCAGTGCCAGTCTTGTCTTCGCCACTTCACCACCAATGTCAAGCTGTGCAGGCATCTCCGACACTTCCCGTCTTGTCGACATGCTCTCCAGGCCAGAGGTTTCCAATGTGCCCCTGAACCTGGAGTTGGCAATCGCAAGGCTGTCGACGAGGGCAACTTCCAAGCCCCCTCTCTGCAAGCCGAAGGCCCTTCACTGTCTCCCATAGTTGAGGTTTGGGATGGCTACCTTGACAGACCATCCATCGAGGTCCTGGAGTGTTTGACTCACATTCCATATGGTCTCCAACCTGAAGAAGTTACGACCGAGGTTGTTTGGCAGCGAGCCCATTTAGCCTTTTCCTCTGTTTGCTTGCCCAATCGGAAGATCATTGCCACGGCCAAGGCTTGGGAAGAGGCCCTCCTCTTGGAAACTGCCGAGGGAGCCCCGCCGCTTGCATCCTTGCTTGAAGTCGCGAGGTGTTTGACAGTTGAAGAACCGGTTGATTGGCTTGTTCCGATTGCGGAGGGACGATCTGCCCAAACCTGCACATTTCGAGATGCTCGTCAGCTGCTGCCACAGCTTGATGTTTCTGGGATTGTGACTCAGACTCATGGGCCACAAGAGGTGTCGGCGTACATCCGGGTTGGCTCGGGTGCTTGGCTCTCTCGCCACTCACAAGACTTCGACGCTGTCTTGACTTCTCCCACCAGGAGTGCCTCGATACGCTCGCCGCCGGGAACAACCCTTCATTTTTCGAAGATTTGTCGGATGGGGTCGTCTTTGTCCTTTCGACTGTTGGGCTCCCTTCTTGGGGAGAACTGCCTTCACTCCCGGCAAGAGACAGCTGCTTTTCTCACAGCTCGCTAAAGCCACCCTAGCGAGCGACCTCCTCCGCTTTGCCCTTCGTCTCTGGCTCCGGAATGTTCCCACTGCCTTTGTCTGTCCTGCTGGGCTCAACATCGTCCCAGGGCCAATTTCGGCTCTGCCGGGCCTTGTGAGCTCGCGACTGGGTGAGGCAGTTGTCTGGAGGTCCTCCAATTTCGACTGGGAGCCGATAAGTTTCACTTTTCTTAATTAGTGTTTGTTTTGCATCCAAAGGGCTGCGTCCAACTTGGATACTTCGCCCCAAAAGAGCGAAAGAGCGATATATATATATATATATATATGTATACATTCATACATATTACCCTCAGTGCTGCGGTCGGAGCGTAGCGGAGTCAGCTTGCACGTGCCTTTCACACTTGTGACTCGCGATAAAGTGCTGGCTCAAGCGCTCCAGCTTGAGGCCGAAGGGATGCCAGGGCCATGGTTGTCCGCGTCAGCGGACCCGGAGGCCTGGTCATCCTACTCCCTGGCGGAGGGAGACTACATCGAGTTCGGTGCCTACGACACGTCGAATGTGAAGCAGGGCTCAGTCCTGTGTCGCATCGACAAGCTCGAGGACCGAACGAAGAGTGGGCAATGGGCGGAGGTGACCGTCCTTGCCGTGTCGGACGATCACCTCCTGTGGTGGATGGAGCACGGCGGGGGGAAGCAAACAAGGACGGCGAGGACGAGGGCTCGACTTCCACTCCGACCGTTTCAGACACGTGCCGCTCGGAGACCTCGCGGACCACAAAGTCGACTGGTTGAAGAAGAACAAGTGCAAGCAGTATGTCGACGAGGAGCTGGCGAGGAGGATGGCGCCACCACTTCTCACGGGGAAGGGCTCGGGGTCCCACGAGGGCGGGGCTGGACTGGACTTTGAGGAGGCCCGGCTGCCAGCACCTGACGCTTCTGATCATGATCCGGCCCTGAAGGGGCTTCACAATCTCGAGCAGGAGCTCGCAGCCGCGAAGGTGGGCAAAAAGAAGCGCCAGCAAGTCGACCCTCACGGGGGAGCTGCAGGACCTCTCAAGAGGGAGAGTGTGGAAGAGCGCAACCAAAAGAAGAAGAAAAGAAGGAAGGAGGGGCCCGGCCACGGCCGAGCAAGGTCTGCCCCAGCGTCAGGTGTGAGCCTGTGGGGGATGACCCAAAGGACCGCTCGCTCACGGACACCTCGGGCCTGGTCCTCACCCATTTGTGTGCCAATGTCGCGCTCCCTCAGTCCGTGCCACCTCCAAGCCATCGGCCGGATAGCTGGGCAGGTAGACCGCCTCTTGGCGATACCGACGAGCCTCGCCACGGCGGAGGAAGCGGCCTAAAGACTGAAGGGAAAGCGCTTTGACTACAATGGAGAGCCAGTGGACCACATGATGGACCTCAACGCAGAGCAGGTCGGCGGCCGTGGTGGACCTAAAGGACTGTCTTCCGGACCACCTCAAGGAGGCACTTGACCGCCCTGATCTCTACTTGCTTCCCGAGACCGAGCTCCCTGAACGTCATAGGGGTTCGGGGGTCAGGACCTCTGACGAGGAATGGTTCAAAATCGTGAAGGCCGGTTACGACCGAGGCATGTTCGTCCCGTTCTCAGACGAGGACGTCCCTCGAGATAGACGAGGCCACCTTGTCACAAATGGCGCTGGGGCTGTCTCGAAGGTCAAGGTGGTGAATGGAAAGCCCGAGAAGGCCCAACGTTTCATCTCCATCCTTTGCCCCATGAACGAGGCGATGCGCCTGCTGCCGGGGGCCCAGGACAGCCTGCCCTACATTGGGCAGGCCGTTCTCGCCGAGAAGGAAGCTACTTGGTGGTCGACTCTGAAGACCTCCAGAGCGCCTTCAACCTGTTCAAGCTTCCGATGGTCTGGCCCCTTACTTCAGCTTCGCAAAGAAGGTTCGCGGGGACGCCTTGGGGCTCTTCCGGTCCATCATGGTGCGCCCGGGTCTGAGGGTGGTGCCCATGGGCTGGACGTCCGCCGTCACCCGCCCCTGTACTCTATTCTCCAGGAGACTTATGGAGTTAATTATGGATTGGGCCCACGCTGGAACGGAGATTAACCTTCCGGTCCCTGTGATGGACGAGGTGCTCCTGTTTACGATACTGGCGCCCCTGGCTGAGACTGACCTCTCGTCGGAGATCTCTGCAACCACCCGCGGGCGGGGAAGCATCTATTGCGACAGGTTTCAAGGACAAGTCGCTCCTCCTACCTACCCCCTTGGAGGACTCCAACCGCTGCGGTGCACGTGGAAAGGAGATCACTGAACGCGAGCGCCGCACTTACCCCTGCCCGAGGAAATGCGGTTTGAGGATGTGCACGTTACGGTGCACCTGGGCGCACGACTGCGAGTGTTGCCGGAGGTGGTGGCACGTTCCGCTGTTTGGGGAACGATTTCCGGGGAGAAACTTTCCCCTTAACAAAGGCGGCAGGGCTCAAGCGGATCGCCACACAACGTCCTCTTGACCTTAAAGTCGAGCGAGACACCTGGGACTTCCGCTCCGATGATGGGAAAGAGAGGCTGCAGGACTACGAGTCTGATGGGAACCTTATGTGGAGCCACTAGCTGGGCCCCTGATCGGCACACCTTTTCCAGACGGCGAGGGGAATGGATCAAAGATGAGTGGGGTCAGTGGGTCCGTGGGCCCCGCCCATACAGGGACCACGACTTATGTGAAGGGTTCACCGACCTTCGTCGCGATGAAGCCGTGGTGGTTCGCCAGGCAAATGCCATGGCCAAGCGGGCAATCAAGGGTTTGCTCGAGGCGGCACGCCGTGGAAGGTATGCATCGTTGGAGCACCCTTACGGTGGCGAGTGGTTTTGGAGCACCTTCTCGTTGTGCTGCCGCGGCGGGGATACTGAGGAGTGGCTTACCGTGGTCCACAACTCGGCCTCGCTGCACGCAGTCCTGGATAGGCCGACCTGCGATGGTCACGACCAGGACCCCTTCCGGCTCCGAAATCCGGAAAACAACTCAGAGTACCCTTGGCCCTTTTGCCTGCTCTTTATGGAGGGAGTCCACGACTCCTTGATCCAGTCTTACACTGGGCCCTTTGGAGCCAAGGACTTGACCCTTGAGGGTCTCGTGCACCACCACCTCAACGGAGCAACCAAAGGCTTGCAGGACGCCGCTGCCGTGGACTGGGAGGTGACCCAAACGGTGAAGTTCCTCGAGACGATAGACACGGGGCGGGGAGAGGACCTGGTCGGGAGCCGTCCGGCTACCCAGCCTTTCGCTGGCTTTGGCGGGATGTGCTGTCCTACAAATGGAAGGAGCCGCAGCACATCCACATCCTCGAGCTGAC